TTTTTTTTTTTTTGAATAGAGTATTAGTCACTAAGCTAATATACCCAGAACACTTTCCAGCAAAAAATTAAAAATGTTGCACAGCTTTTATCCAGCTTAAATATTATTAACAAGTAATCAGAATGGATTGAATGCAGTTTTATAATTTCCAATTAGGCTGAACTCTGACTCACAATGCACCGAATAATTGTTGTTGTTGTTGTTGTTGCTGATTCCGCTGGGATTAGCTGTGCGTCACGAGCCTGTGCGTTTATTATCTAATATTTACTCAGTTATATATATTTGGATTTTTGCTTGCCACTTACGTCCTCACGATGCGCCGAACTAGGATAACAATGTTGCTTTAAGCCAAACTGCGTGCAGACATTTGTATTTATAGGCGAACGGCGACAGCGGCTGAGATTTTAGTGCCACATTTGGCCCTGATGACAGAGCTCTGCTGTTGGTGCTTCTTCTGCCAGGATATGACGTCCTACACATGCGCCACACACACACACACACACACACATACTCACACACATATAGGCACACACACAAACACACTCGCACACACATAAAGCGTGCGACTTACTTAACATTTGTTGTTTGGGTATGCGGCTAGCATTTTCTCTGACCACGTCTCCAATGCCGAATTCTTTTGCACATTTCGCATTTCGCATTAAGCTTAAAGGACAAATGTGTGCGCGCGCAGAGGCAACAACAAGTAGGAGACCTGATTGTCAGATACCCTATAAAAGGAAAGAATACCAAAATATGCTGAGTGATAGCTGATGAGTTACGGCTGATAACTGATGACTGATGAGATGATGACTGATGATTAATAAGTGATGAGTAATGACTGATGAGTGATGATTGATGTGTGATGAGGGATGACTGATGACGAATTTGTGAAGAGTGATGACTGATGATTGATGTGCTAACGATGTTAATGAACTAATGACCAATGGCTAATGACTAAGAACTGATCACTAAGAAATAATGAATAATAACTAATGAGTAATGAATAATGACTAATGACTAATGACTAATGACTGTTGACTGACAAACAATGACCCAGACTAATGACAAACAATGATAGATTATGACTGAGGATTCATAACAGACAAATGATTATGAAATGGCGAAATTGATTAATGATGACTTATTGACTTATGTAAATCCTGCCATTATTGTCTCACCAACTGTATGCCAGCTAGCTATTGAGTTTCTAGTACTGGGTATAACAATGGCAGCAACATCAGCATCAATATCATTGACATGGTATTTGCGTATTCCAGGGAAAGTCTGTTATTGTGTGTGTTCGCGTCCCCTTACGTATCTGTGTTGTCTATGTGCTGTGGGCGTCATATCGCCTGGCACGCCCCAACAGAAGAGAAACTGGCGAAATGGTTTCGCTTAGTAAATCTCATGGTTAGTCCACAATCGCTGCTGCTGTTGAAGGTATTATGATGCCCGTTCACATTATGATACAGAGGGCCTTTCGGGTTTGTGCAATGTACTCAGTTACTATTGAAGCTAAACACTCGAAATTTCGTACTGATCTAAGAAAGAACTGAAATTTTTAGAATACGCCCATTAGAAATTAATATGAATAATCAAATCTGCAAAAGATTTACTTTCATCTGATTTATTGGTAGGCACAATATGGATTGACCAGATATTCCACATAGTAAAAGATTGGATCAACAAGTTTTGACTTTGTTTCACTGTTTACCTGTTCCATTGTCTATTTATATAATTTATGTTCATATATGCTACCTACATTCACAGCGACGCGTCGAACAATCCAATATCCACGACAGTTTTATAGCTTAAATTTCATGATTTTATCTACTGGGGACATCGCAGAGGTATATCTTTCAATAGAAGATCACCAATATCTATTTATAGATAGTTCAATGATATGGCACGCCCAAACTATGCACCATGAACGAGTATTAATCAGTCGGTAGGGTTCAATTGCAATGTTCCTGGTTGCTGTTGTCGTTGATGGTGTTGTTGGTATCACTCTCGTTCTCATTGTTGTCGTTGCCAACGGCGTCGTCGTCATGGCTGCAAGTTGTTGACATTGCCGAGCGGGCGTCCATAATGTGAATCTCCACTTCACTAACTAACTGCCCAGACACAAATGCTTTGCAATACTTCCTCAAAGTGTTGTTGTTGCTGCTGGTTACAAAAAAAAAAAAAAAAAAAAAAAAAAAAAAAAAAATAAACTGATAAAAATGTTACCATTTGTATACCATGCACGACTACAAGTTCCCCAAGCCGAAAATTTTTGATATAGCGCAGTTTTGTGTGGCCATTGCTGTGATTGAATACGTGTCTGGCATGCGAACTGCAATTCCAAGGGATTATTTTTACGACCTGAAGCTGAAAGACAAGGAATGAATATGTTTTATTCTCATCATCGCCTTCTTCTGCCTCTGCTTCTTCTCTTCTGGTTTTTCTGGTATTTATGAATCGCAGGCGCATAAACCTTTTATGAAACAGTTAAGAAGGAATGCAGAAGGACAACATGCAAAGGGTATTCGCATCGCATTTAAGTGAATAAAATGCTTCTGACCCACAAAATTGCTAAAGTGATTCATGAAAAAGCTTTTTGTTGTTGCCATTGAGCTTCATATCAAATGGAAGCTGTATGCAGCGCGGCTGAAAGCTCGCTGCTATGAAATGGGAGCAAAGCTTACGGTAACGGTAAAGTAGCTTTGGGCTGGGCTTGGCTAAATGGTTCATTACCTGGAAAAGTTGTTTTTAAAAAATGTAAATATATGTATATATGTATAAATTATTGGATGATAGATAATATAGCATATGAAATATATGATATGGGCTTTATTAAGACTGTTTATATGTGACATTATTAAATACATACATAATATGCCATGTACATACATTCATACATATATGATATTCATTTAGAATTTTATATTTAGAGTTGTTTTGAAAATATTAAATTTACATCGGTTAACCAAAAGATTTTGATTTTTGTTAAATATCGATTGATCTAAATGAAACCCACAGAAAAAACTTTTCTGTCAAGCCTTTCAGTACATTGAAGACATCTAATAAATAATTTTGTATGGTATCATATGTATTCGCAGCCCATTTTATTATGAATTTATGCAATGTACACTAGACATTGTCACAGTGATATTAGAAAAATTGGTACATTAGTACATAGGATGGTGATGCATTGGTTTATTGGTACATTCGTTCCCTGGTACATCGGTACATTTATATAAAACGAGAATCTGCCAAAAACGGAAAGATATATTTCCGGAATATTAACATTATATAACATTATATAATATCAAGGAAATCCATCCAGGCTCCTCGAACATAAACATGAATTAAAATAAATAAAATGTAAATATTAAACGAAATCGATTGTTTCTTCGACTTAATGACAAATATGTAAATTTCTTAATAAAGTCGTCAGCTTTTAAATCGCATTAACTCAAAAAGTTAAAGCCGAAAATAAAAACTAATAAAATATCAATTAAAAGAAATAGCCTTGCTCCGCATTGATTTCGAATTTAAATTTTATTCATTTATCGTTCGTCAATGACAATTACAATTTAAAATACAACAACATAAAATGGAGACTGTAGGTGGATATTAGGATATGATATATAGATGGGATATGGCTCGTACAAAAAGAGTTTAAACATTAAACTAAGCGCTACGAGTAACTTAATGGTTTTAGGATCTACTTAAGAACAACTAAAATACATTCAGTGGCATTCTACAAAAGAAACACTATCTCTTCTACTTCTTCATCATCTCATCATCATCATCTTTTACTATATATGATTTAGGGATTGCAGCGGCAGACACAGCATGAAGGAAACAGGAACCAATCCATAAAAATGCCTTTGCAATCATTATCGGGATCGTAGGCCAACAGACGGTGCCATTTATATTTCTGCTCACAGCCGCATTCGCCCTCACAGCGTGACGTTTGGGTGTTGCTACAAAGGACGAAACATRTATACATATACATACATACATATATATCAGATTTATATAGAACTCTATTTATTTGTCGCACCTGCACACCTCCTGGTGTATGGCCTGCTCGAAGTGTTGCGTGTTCACAATGGCTCTGATTTTCCCGGCCGAATTTGAGGCCCAATAGGGCGTCACAATTTCAATTTTCGATTCGCATGCATCGAGTCGCCCTGTGCCTGAATTGCCATTCGCATTGCCGGGCAGATTATTGGCTCTACTGGTGCCACCTCCGCCTGCCCCACCTCCAGCGCCTCCTCGATTCCGATTGCCACCAGCTGCTGCTGCCTGCCGCTTCTTCCGCAGCTCGCCAAAGTAACTGTCGCCGGCTTCACCTGCTGTAGCCGCATACGCGCCAGGTGGTATGAATATATCCGGCTCGTCTATGAAGCGTCGCTTGCGCACCTTGGCTTGCCCACCTGAACCACCGCCACCACCACCTTCCATATTCATCTCGAAGTCGCCGTACATGCGACGCATCAACGCCTTGTTGTCGTCTATGAATCGTTCGATTTTATCGCTAGAGGAGTGAGAGAGAAGCATTTAGATAAGTTTAGTTTATTATTCTGCTTGTTACTTTTGAGGATTATCTTGACAACTTCATTTTCCATCATTCCATCACATCGGTTTACTACATATATATAATATTCTCCGTATGACGAATCGGCCAGGGAATTAAATCCAACTAATATAACTTCTATAGCCCCAAGTGTATTTAAAGTTCGTTAGAGTAAAAAATTTTCCAGTCGCCGCTCAGTTGAACGAACTTTGAATAGGTTCTAGTCGATCTTTAGCCACGCTTTGAGTAATTGTCATAAATATTTCCTTGAGATGAACGTAAAAACTTGCTAAAAATTGTTAATAAAAATAATTAAATATAATTCTATGCGCATTTCAAACTATTTTAGCAACTCAAGCGGAGACGTCAAAATGTATTTCACAAAAAGACAAAAGAAAATATGAATTATACATAATCGATGCTAAGAAAACCCACAACATTTTTCTTTTTCACTCTGGAAGGTTAAGTTTTATGATAATTTATGGCTATATGCTGATTGTTCAGTTACTCACATGGGATAGCTGTTGCCGGCTGTGGGGCAGAACAACTGATGATAACGCTTGATGCAGGGCACGCCCTTGATGACATCGCCTCGAACATCCAGGCCGAGCGCAACGGAGAGCGCCGTCCACCAGATCTAAAGAGAGGCAGACAGAGAAAGAGTAAGAGAGAGAGAGAGAGGGAGAGTGAGTGATGGAGTGACATTGACATCGACGGCCTATAACAAAATTTATGGCAGGGTGTGAAAATAAAATGACTCAAAAACATTAAACAAAAAAAACA